TTTGCTAAAAAAATATTAAAAGATTTAATCCAGTTGCACAGAACAACAACAGGCATTGCTGAGTTAAGCATCTCATTTCCGATTTCCATTTGTTTACATGCTATGTTATTTCACAATTGCCAAATATACTTTCATAGCCTAATTAGTTCATGCAGAGCTCAGGCAACTCAGCAAGGGCAGCCAGATGCCAAGGGAGGGAGTCTGAATAAACACTAGCTTTTGGGATGGTCGCTATTACACAACATGTGTATATCTATTCTTTTTTTTTTTTTTTAGTAATTATTATTTTTATAAATAACTCAAACGTAACTAGTGGCAAACATAACTAGTACTCCTTCCTCCTCCTATTTTCCCCATGACAACAACAACCCCATAAAGTGGGTTGGGCTGAGAGAGAGTGACCCAAAGTCACCCAGCTGGCTTCCTGGGCAAAATCATCATCTTGGGCAAAGGAAAGGACGTTGCAGTTGTATCAGATGTAATGGAAAATATACTTGTATCTTTCACATATTCTCTTAGAGATGCCATGTCCAAACTGGAACCATCCAGATGTGTTGGATTTGAAATGCAATGTATCTGAAAGGAACCAATTAGGTAAAACTACTCTAAGGAACTCAAGGTGGAAAAAAGGTCACTCTTCTGACTGCCCTCCATTTTATAATCACAACAACTTTGTGTGATAGGACATGCTGAAAATCAACAGTTAGCCCAAAGTTGTTTGGGATGAATTCAGTACAGAGTTACTGAAGTCCTATTGAACCCAATGGTTAGGTTCTCATGTTCTGTCAAACCAGATTATGCATTGTAAACTAGAGATGCTGAGTTCATGCAACACTCAGATCCAAGTAGCCAGATTGTGATTTAATGTAATGTGTAAACCCAGCAAGTGGGCGTTTCAGCTAAATGGCAGTTTAAACTCAGGAATCTGAAACTTCATTCAGTGTACCATTAGCTTTGGAAGCATTTAAAACTATATCAATAGCCTGGAACCCCCAATAACTTTTGAATTATAGCATCCATAATCCTTTGCCGAGAATTGATAGGAGTTGAAGTTCAAAATACTAAGAGAACCTTATAAAGCAAAGAAGAAATTTTATGGGAGTTTCTGTTGATATACCACTCTTTAAATTTCTTGCAACCAGGGTATACACGGGGTCAGGACTGAGGGATGTCAGAAAGGATTAAATGGAGAACTGTGACAAAGTATGGAAGAAACCCTTTGTGGGTTTCTTTTGTTACAGATCTTTGAGTTCTCAGAAATGCGTCTGGGTTATAATGATTGGTAGCATAACCATTTGTTATAGGCAGAGGTGATATTCGGTCTATAGATATGGTGCAATCCAGTGGTATTTCATTCTGTGTTCAGAACATTTAATTTGTGAACAGAATAAACAGTTTCTCCAGAGGAAAAAGGAGCTGATACAGGTCCTGCTCTCAGACATTTAGGGGATCCTTGGGTGTCAACCTTGTTCTGAGCAATTATGCAAGGGCAGTTGTTTCTACTTGGTTCCCCCTGCTAACCAGAGTGACCAAGTTAGGGATTCTCCGCCCAAAATTTAGTGTTGCATCTGACCTGAGATCCTTGACTTTCCTAGTAATCTAGAATGATGAGGGATTATCAAATTAGATGCCAATAATTCAGTAATTCTCTTTTTAAAGACAAAGTCTGGAGGTGGAATGTTCAGAAGTCTGGATCATGCTCATCTATAGTGTGTTTTGTTGGATTTTACCTTAGTTTAGTCTACAGTACAAATCCAGCAAATTGTAGTTTATTCAATAAATCATGGTTACACAAATGTTAAATGTTGGCTTAGTAAGCAGCATGAACTCAGTTGTAGTCTCCTATGTTTATACAGCAATTACACTGCTAGCCTTCCCCAGTCTGAAATTGGACTGCAATTGTCGACATTCTTAGCCAAGGAAAGAATGATACAAGGGAACTCTGGCCAGAATCTTATACCTAGTTTTTGCAATAACAGCATTCTGTTTGCATGTTTTGCACCCTTTGAGACTTTTAACAGGCATCTGTCTTGGAGTTAGGAGCTTGTAATGAGTGCCAGTAAAAGGCCAGTGGTTGCAGCTGGAAATACATGAAAATGTATTGGAATGGCTGTTTCATTACGAAGTGATAAACAAAACTTACAGCATTATTTTTTATATATTCTGAGTCAGAACAGCTGTAGTTACAGAAAATCTTTAACATCTGCCTCTCCCACATACCCAACTTAGGAAATATTTCTGAGGAAGAGTTTCTTATCAGATATGGGCAACTTTTCCCAGCTTGGCTTCTATCTTGTCCCGAGGGTTCTGCGTCTTCAGCAAAACTGAATGGGTGAAGTGAAGGCTAATGTTGTACTCCCTGTTATTCCTCATCCCCTGTCAGCTTCTCATTTCTGCAAACCACATCCTTCTGTTTGTGGGCTTCCCCACTCATTCTTCAAACCTGAAGATTCTGGCCTAAAGTGGAAAACACTTTATCTAGCCGATTCCCTCTTAACACAGATTAGATATTGAGGCCAAAGTTGGAGATTGGTAGGAGAATATAAATTGCTCCTCCCCCCCAAGATATTTCTGTACAGTATGCAAAAACAGTTAAAGCAGGATTTTTAAAAAAATGCTTATTGCATTTCTGTGGTTACCCAGTTGCTTAAAAGGAAAGGAACCTGACCAAATGTGGATAGGTTTTGGGAGAGAGAGGTCGGATAGAATCCTCTGTATTGGTCCTGATGTTACAGTGAACCCCTTTTTGAAAAGGTAATTGGCGGAGACAATAGTGGAAGAGTTTTGTGGAGTGAGGTAGATAGAATATAGTGGTAAATACAGAGAGGGAAGGAAGCATGACATCTTGAATGGAATGCAGAATTTGCCATGTTGTTCCATTGTTGCATTTTGAACACATCCTGGACCAGTAAGTGTTCAAAATGGACACATCTTGAACACAGTCCTGGATCAGTTGAAACTTTTGAACAGCTGCTTTCCACTCCCTTCTTACAATTCCTCATATACGCAATCGTAAATTGGGTTGGATGTAACCAAAAAGAACAATCTCAAAAAAGTATAGGTTATTATTGGAGTTAGAAATAGGAGATCTACCCCATGGTTTAAAGGAAGCTTGGGATATTGATCTGGCAGGAATTATGGAAACCAGGTGGATTCACCTCCGCTTCAGTGCAAGAACTGCAGTGGAAGATTGTATATCGCTGGCACTTGACTCCAGTCAAGTTGGCACATATATATCAAAATTATTCTACCAAATGTTGGAGAGGTTGTTCAAAAAAAGGGTAATTCTTTCATTTGTGGTGGTAAGGCGATAAAACTATACCCTTTCAGCTTAAAATTTTTGCAGACATGAATACCATTACTAAACAAGGAATTGAATGCTCCCGAGAGGTAGACTTATTGCATTTATTTACAGGACCGAACCTCAAGCTTAAAAATAAGGAACTTATTATCTATTGAATTTTAGCAGCTAAAATAATAATTGCCCAACATCAGAAAACTCTAGATAATGTAACAATCGAGATTACAAGGCCTCTTCAATTGCCGCATTAGAAAAAAATCATAAATTAGGTTAGATGTAGGCAGACTAGCTGGATTTGTTTGTATTTTTATACATGCACTAGGAATTAAGGCTCTATAGCGCTTTGCATTAGAAGGCCAAAAGCTACTTTGGAGAGCATGAGGATGCACAAGTAAGACCTCACTGCAACAGATTAAATGTGTTTTTCCCAGGATCATGCTGTAGCTGCAGAGTACAGCATCCCATAAAAGATGCAGCTGCTTTAAGGAACTATAAACAGGTACTGTGTGAGTACTTCCATGTATTTCAAAGTACCTTTTGGCCTTCAAATCTGAAATGCTACATAGCTACTAGGAATATTTAAAGCGTGGGTCTGGTTGATTTAATTTCTGCACTGAGAAAGGTGAGTTCTATCAGTAAGCCAAGTGTGCATCCATACTTTTTCTTTTTCTTTTTCTTTGCATAATTTTGCCTTTATTTTACAGGACCTGCTAATCACAGGCACAACAATGGTGTTGAGAGGGCTTCTCTGGCCTCTACCATTTTGGTCCATGTACTTTCAAGTATTCCTTTTTAGCTGTAAATGGGTATATTTTTAGCATTTACATCCTGCAATTTCATTATATTCCCAAAGTAGAAACTGGTAGGGTTTTTTTCTTTTTCTTTTTAATGAAAACTGAGATTCTTCAGAAGCTGACATTATAGGAGGTGAATCTTGTTAGTCTATGGTGGCCAAAAAAAAAAAAAAATCAGGAGGAGTCCTGTAGCACCTTTTGGGACTGACAAAAAAGTACTTTATCCAACTTTAAAACACTATGGAGCAAGAAATTGCTGAGCTCCATACATCAAAGGGTGGAGTCCTTGCTGGTCTCTGAGCTTGGTTGCTTGCTTGCAGACATTTCATTACCTGACTAGGTAACATCATCAGTGCTAGTGAATGTGTTTTTGCTCCCTGTTTATATACAATAGCTTGCCCTGGCAGTGTTGGTGGGGTGTGGTTTTCTCCTTGGGAGTTCCTTGATTAGAGTATTGTTTTCTGCTTGATTGTTTGTCTGGTGTTCTGTATAAACAGATTTTTAAAACTTGGTCTTGTACAATGTATCAGAATACAGAACAGAGACTGAAGCTGATTCTCCCATTTCCTTGTACCATTATATAAGAGGGGTTTATACTTCTGCAAGAATGACCTCTGTCAAAAAGCTGCATAAGTTAATTAACTAGCATTCGGTTTTTTGGACTGTTTACTGAGCTGTTGTGCTGGGTCACAACAGCAATGCTGTCACTGTCTTTATTTCATTTTATTTGCTTTTCTGGAAACCAGAAAGTTTGAAAAAGGGAAGAGATGAAAAACGGGCCTCGCAAGAAAGCAATGGGTTCTAGTTTTTTTAGAACCCAGTAGACTTGTGGGTTCCTACCTGTATCATTAACATCATCCTGATGAGGGAAGTTTCTTCTCTATTTTCTCTTTTGCTCTCTGTAGGTCACCCGCAATGTTGCTGTTTTCATCCTGACAAATAAGCAGTATATAACTTTGTAAACCACCACCAGTCTTGGACGGAGCAGAGGTAGGAAACCTGGCACTTTCCAAATACTTTAGGTTACAGCACCCATTGTCCCTTACTATTGGCCTTGCTAGTTGGAGATAAATAACTGGACAGTATTTCTTTCCCCTAATAACATACATGGAAGATGTATAATAATTATGAGGTAGGTGCTGTTTAAGATCACTCTCAACTATTGGTAGAAGAGAGAAAATCTTTGGTTGTTCATCTTCAGTGAGTTGGGACACATGGTGATAATTGCATCAGAAGAATACTTAATGGCTGGGACTTTCTTGAGTGGAAGATTGGAGAGTGAATTATGTCTGATGTGGGCAGAGAACTTGAGATTAGCTAGACCTGTCTCCTGTCCTCTCTTTAAAGGTTAAGATTGTGTAAACAGAAGACTTCATTTCTTTCTTTTCACCCTGTCTTCTGTCCTCCCTTTAAAGGTTAAGATTGTGTAAACAGAAGACTTCATTTTTTTTCTCCCTCTCCCCCAACCAGGATTTGACTGTTTGAGAAGATGAGTGTGTGCCATTATAATAAGACAGTTGAGTTCTTCTATAACAACAGTGGAAAGGAGCTATTCCATGAATGGAGGCCCAAGGATATCTTGGTGGTTGCCCTTGGCTTGACAGTCAGCATCATTGTACTGCTCACCAACTTGCTGGTCATCACAGCCATTGTTATCAATAAGCGATTCCACTATCCTATTTATTACCTGTTGGGCAATCTGGCTGCAGCTGATCTTTTTGCTGGGATTGCATACATGTTCCTGATGTTCCACACTGGGCCAAGGACAGCTAAGCTCTCTCTCAAAACTTGGTTTATCAGGCAGAGCCTCTTGGATACCAGCCTGACTGCCTCAGTAGTCAACCTTTTGGCCATTGCAGTGGAGCGTCACCAGACAATTTTCACCATGCAGCTCCATAGCAAGATGTCCAATCAGAGGGTGATTATTCTCATTGGCTGCATCTGGATAACAGCCCTGCTGCTGGGTCTCATCCCTTCATATGGCTGGCACTGTTTGTGTCAGCTGAATGATTGCTCTACAATGGCTCCTCTCTACAGTCGCAGATATTTGACCTTCTGGGCACTCTCCAATCTCTTTATCTTCCTCATTATGGTGGTCGTCTACACACACATTTTCATCTATGTCAAGAGGAAGATGGCTCGGATGTCTAAGCATACGACATTCCACCCACGCTACAAGGAAACTATGATCAACCTCATCAAGACAGTCATCATTATCCTCAGTAAGTAGAAGTGCTGTCTATCTCCAGTTTTCTTTCAGAGTTTCTTTATGCACACATACAAGGGCTTCTTCTTTCCTTCAGTAAGACACATAAATCCATACATGCTCAACACACTATTCCATTTTAGGATAAACAGTGTTATCTAGAAGTACAGAAAAAGTACAGAAGTACAGAAGAAGAACAAGTACTGAATAAAAGGATTAAAGAGAAAAAGAAAAGAAAATTGAATTAAATTTAGTTTATACAGGTAATCCTCACTTTGCAATGCTAATTGGGATGGAAACTCCATTGTTAAATGACACAATCATAAGTTAAAAAACCACACAACTGTGCTGCTTAGCTACGGCAGTTCCGGCACTCCCAGTTGCCATCGTTAAGCAAGGACCATGCAGATCATTAAGCAGGGACCTCATGTGATCGCAACCTGCAACTTTCTGCTAGCTTCCCCGCTGACTTTGCTTGTCAGAAGGCAGCAGGGAAGGTCACAAATCATGATTGCAGGATGCTGTGATGGCCATAAGTACAAAGACCCATCATAACTAGCACTCAACTCGTTCAGCACCATTGTAAGTTCGAACAGTCGCTGAATGAATGGCCGTTAAACAAGGGCCATCTGTATGAACACTCTTCACTTTATGTCTCCATAACTTTGTGTCTGTACTAACCATCCTTGCTTCCTCCCAAGTCCATACACCACTTCATACATTACCTCACTTCTCACCTCTCTCTCCTTAAGAATTCCATCAACTTCATCTATGACTTTTTCAGTTGTCCCCTCCCTCCCAATTTATTCATTCTTCCTTTGTATGTTTGTTTTGCAATTCAGTCCTCCTTCATTCTCTCTAAATGATTGCTCACTTTTGTATTCCATTCAATAGATGGCATTCTTGACCTTGTACCTTCTTGCTTTACCACACACAGTTCTTAAATAACTCCTTCCAGACCCAGCTCTGACTTCCATATAACAAAATGGGTAGAAGCGTGTTCTTATATACAGCCAGTTGGCCTCTTTTGTTTTAGAAGGAACATACCAGTAGATGAAAGAGTCTTCCTCCTTCAGAGTCTGCTTTTTATATGAATATGATGTTTGGAATATTATTAATAGGAGCAGAGCTAGCATTCTCTCCTTACATGTTATCTTAGACACAGTGGTGGCTTTTGGGATGCCAGAAGACAGCTACATAAGAACAGGCATAACTCTCTCATTTTTTAAAATGGAGATCCTGGGGACTGAACCAGGAACTTCTGTATTTAAAAGATGTAATCCATTATAGAATAGTTGTTATCCCATCAAGGCACTTTGAAAAATGGTTGATGTTGGAACCTTTTGAATGAATATCTTGAGATCCAAAGCCAAGCTAGACGTCATCAGAACAGCCAGCTTTTATAGTTCGGTGACTCTGTTTTATTCTTTTTTTTCCTTTCTTTTTGCTATTTGAATGGTTTATTTTGCTATGCACAAGAAAAGCAGCAGGAGGCTGTTTTGCCTTGGCTGAAGTTATAGGGAACTGAGCCATATTCTAACAGATAATTGCCCAAGCTGTATTATTCCCTGAGGACTAAGAGGCAGCCAGAAGAATGCAGGGGGTTGCTCCCTCTGTTACGACCAGCTATCTTGGTTTTGTGACCAGCTATCTTGGTTTTGTATAAACGTATGTGGAGGTGTGACAAGGTTCCTGCTGTGGGAGAGGATGAAGTGAGGAATGCATGGCTAGCCCAGAGGGCAAATTAAACTGAACTGTTCTTTCTTTCACTGTGGATGGATGGATGAATGAATGAATGAATGAATGTGCGTTTCTTAACAATCTGCATGTGAACGAGCAAAAATTAGGCGCATATTGTTTCTGAGTATGTCAGCTTTTGATTGGGGTTGCTTTGGCTGCTTTTTCTTTTAACGTTTGAGTGTTTCAGGCCCAGCTCCAGTTTCATTTTTAATGGGGTCATTAAGTAAGCTGTTCCTCACCTGCAAACTCTCCAGCTATGACAGTTTGCATGGGCTTTGCGCATGGCAGTCTGCCACATTAATGCTGCCAACTTCAAAGACAGCATGGGCATTTCAAAGATGAGCTGGCGTTATTAAGGTGGCACCAGCCAGTACGTGCTTGCGGTGTGGATCCAGATTGCCACTTGGCATCAAGTCCATCCAGCCAAGTGACATTAGCTGTGATGGCTACAGCAGTTGTGGGGCCCCTCACCTGCCCTATCATGCAAGGTGATGCTGTCCGATTTGAATGTCTGTGGCTTTGCTTTATTGCTGTTCTTCCTTAGTGCCATCTACTGTATATTATGTCTGGGACCTGACAGTTTTGCCTTGTAAGGCCATATTACAGCCAGCGAACAAAACCAAGAAGTAAATGCGAATTTTCCCAAGAATTTACGATTCACAACTTTTACTGTTGTTAAAAATAACTAGTAATAAACTAGACAATTAAGACTTCTCAAGAAAAGGAACCTGTTACACACGCTGCTCCCAGGTTCGGCTTATGGCTACTCACTCACACAC